GCAGTAGTAGAGTGTACTCACCATTTACATCTTAGGTTTTCGTGAAAAAGCATCCTATGTTGTTTTCCTTTTCTCTTATCTCTTTCTAAAAGGTTGAATCTCCAATCCCAAAGGTCCCCCACACCCCAGTCCAATAGAATATCTAAAATGATGTAAATCATGGTAACTCAGCTGATTGAGAGCCGCTGGTGAGACTCAATCCTTGATCAAATTAGTTTAAAAAATTATTGGAAGTATATTTTAAATGCTATTGACTCACATTGTAGTATGTGTGACTAATGAAGCACACAGAGTCAACAACGCCTTCGCTGATGCTCGGTCTCATGAACTGCCGTTGGTGAGACTTAATTCCGATCAAATTAGTTTAAAAAATTATTGGAAGTATATTTTAAATGCTACTGACTCACACAGAGTGAACAACGCCTCTACTGAGGTTCGATCTCATGAACTCTCACATGAGAGAGGTCGTTACATGTCATTTGAGCATAAGGTGCTTGACAATTATTGGAAGTATATATATCACCATAATATATAAATATATAAATTATTTGATATTAGGTCAAGTCAAATGGAAATGTCTCTATCATGTATATATCAACCATCAAGATTCCCTTTCCCAAATGGTAAAATAAACAAACATGGGTTGATGTATGAATAGGAATCCTACCGTTAGCTTCACGCTGTGGTTGAATCGCAGCCGTAGGTGTCGTCCGACAGTGTTAATGAAGCAATATAAACCTTAATTGATTGGGCTCATCAAATACATTATATTAAATCCTACTAATATCTTACACAGATTTAATGATGCCGACTTTTGGGATTTGCATGGATCATATCATAATGAAACCACGACTTAATCACACTTTAATTGTTGCAATAATAGTGTGATTAGTGGAGTTAATGATCGAGTATTAAACCTCAATCTATGATACTAATTATATAAATCTCATGTTAATTGCTATATTGATAATAACGTTGAATATTTTATATTATAATTATAATATTAAAAAAAAAATTGTAGTGTCATATGCAACAGTGATTTATGAGATTAATTTCTAATTCTAATTCTAATGAGATTAAATGTTAGGAGTTCAAATCTTAGAATATGAATTTTTTAAATTTTGTTTTTGAAATTTTTTAAATAATTGTGATTTATGAGATTAATTTTTAATTCTAGACTTCACAATACAAGAAATGGGGACTCTAATTAGATTTTTTATTTGTAACATTGTGGCTTTTTTTTTTCACTTTTTAAAAAAATTAATAGTGGGATGAGTGATTTATAATGTGTTTTTCATTCGAACCATTTTATCTAATTAATTATGTATTATATTTTGTTTTGAATATTGTTTTATCGCGTTTTGATGTGTTTTGATTTTTCATCCCTATTCAACAATATTATAGCTCAATCTCTGATTGTTTTATTTTTTTCAAAATATCTCATTAGTTTTAATTTTTCGCTCGTACTATAAGATTCTATGAGAGAAACAATCCACAAAGGAGCATAGAGGCACAAAAATATTAAGAGATAGTTTTAAAATAAGAAAAATACATTTTTTTTTTCTTATTCGGAGGGAAATATTGATTTTGAATCACATATCCGCATTCTCAAATTATAAGATATTGTCATGAAAGCGGCGACCAAATTAGTAAAGTATAATTTTTGTATCTACAAGTCACAAGTTCAATTATTGCAAATACTTTTTTGATCGAGTTCGTCACATCTCTTATGTTTTATTGCTTCTAAACTATTACATAGGGGTGGGGTCACAATCGATTTCTCACATCATAAAAAAAATTTATAAGATTTTCAATTGGTGAAAGTTAGATGCATGATATTTTATTAAGTCGGTGCAAGTTGTAGTATAAGATAAATAAAATGGGTAAAAATAGGAACAAAAACAAACATCCTTGAATTAGTGGAGATGCCCCCATGCCCCAAATCCATGCCTGTTTGAATCTTTGCCCAAAAAAAAGGAGGAGCCTAAGTCTTCATTTATTATTTTTAAACTATTTTTATTGTGACAAGATTATGTGCAATTTTTTAATATTAATTATTGCATGAATTAAATAAGGTTATTTAGTATTAATTACGATTGAGGATGAGGATGTGGGTTGGTTCTGTCTGCCCAAATTGATTGAATTCATTTTGATTGATGATTGTATGAACAAATTAATTAAATAAACAAAAAAAATATCATTATATATAAGGTGGGTCCAAGTGGAAATGACTGGCACATTATTTTGAAGACTACTCTATACACTTGGCCAAACTTTAGAAAATAAAAAATTGATTATTAATCTTGAATGGACAAAGCTGTCCTTTTCCATGTTTCAAGATAGTTTAAAACGACTAATAATTAATATACACAAGTACATACCTCTCTTCTTCTTTTGTTTTTTTTTGCAGAATAATTAGGGTTTTGAATCTGCAAGTTTTGGAAATATTAATGCACAATTAATCAGCTGTCTGAAATGACCTTTAACCATATCCATAAATCAAACAAAATCTAGATGCCAATGAATATCAAAATAGCACATCATATATCCATACATATTATTGTTTGGGATACATATCCAAAACATAATTCGGTAGTATAAAGATCAGAGTGAGGTAAAGAACAACAGTGCTGATAGTTGCAAATAGTTGGAACTCGTTTTAATGCATCTTGCAATTTATCTTATCCACAAGTTTTTTAGGATTGATTAATGAATAATTTTTTTCCAAAAAGTTGAACCCCACCCCTAAGGGCCCGACAGAGCATCTGAGATGATGTAAATCATGGTAACTCAACTGAACATGAACTACAGAGGGGGGCCCCACAGACCATCTGGGAGGATGTAAATCATGGTAACTTAACTGAACATGAACTACGAAGGCTAGACCTTTGCTTACTAACTCAACACCTTTGCATACTGCGCACAAGGAGCCCCCCACACTTTGAGAGTTGAACATAAACGAGGCTAGACCAGACTCGATCCCCGGTCATTCTTTCCAACTTTCACTTCTATGACCAATTGAGCTACCTATCACATAACTCTATATTTTTTGCTATTTCCATTAAAAAAAAAAAGGTGACAAAATTCAAATTCTTTAAAGAAGTTGGTGTAACTTATAAACTACATCTCGCACATCAACAAAGGGATAGAGAATTGTTATTATTATTATTATTATTATTATTATTATTATTATTATTATTATTATTATTATTATTATTAATGTGATAATGAAAAAATAATAAAGATAAGAAGGTGTGGGGTTGGGTTGGGATGAGCTGTCCAAATGCATTTGATGCTTTATCTAATGCTCTGCGCTGTCTCTCTGTTCCCCTTTACCCCTTTTTATACTTAACCACAAAACGACTCCCCAACTACATATATTATCAACCCCTTTTTATTTCTACGTTTCATATCAACCCTTCCTGCTCTCTAATTCTAATCTATATCTGTACTACAATCATAAACACATAATCAACGCCGTTAATATTTTCTCAAATACACGATTAATCATAACTCCATACTCATTAATTTAAAGTCATTACCCTTTCAAATTGACCGAACAATTAATTTTGTAATTAACAACAAGGTTTCAAGTTTAGCTAGCTTCTGACGAGAATTGTTCCGAGTGATCTTTTGTTGATTAGATCATAAAGCGGATTTCACCTAAAACGCATTTTAAAATGACTGTTGCGAAGATTTTTCTGTAAGTTCGAATTAAACTTTGTGGTAAAAACAATATTATATAACACAAATTAAAAGACCATTTTTAACATTCCCTTTCATAAAATATATATCCCCCATGATGACTACGTACTGCTTTCACCTCTGCAACTTACCACACGGCCACACTTCCCCATCTTTCTTAATTCTCTGTATATGCTGGCTCTACACAACGTGGCCCAACATACACGCTATATTCTATGATTAGACCACTGAAACTATGTTCCTTTGAAAATTTTATGACTAATTCCCTTGCTGAATTGTATGCATCTTTATTTGGTGGGACAGCTAGCATGGAGATTTAAGATTGTTTCATATCCAAAGCTAAAGATTGAATCATTAATGTTTAGTTAAGGATGGATGAGTCCCTTCTACTCAGCCACAACCCCAGGTTATATTACGGCTTAAAGTAAATGGTAATGAGGATCCTATATCCTCTCATGCTAGTCTATCTCACTTTCTCTTATTATCTTTTAAACGTATTAATTATCCATAGTTTGAGTAGGATGGTTTAATTTCTCTTTAATGAAGTCTTATTGTCAAGGCCTACAAATACAGTACGTAGTAGCATTGAGAGAATTTTGTCCAAAAAAGATTCAATTACGTTAATTCAACTCTTAATTAGTTACCCTTGATCACACTCAAATGAATTAAACTAAACATCTTTTATTCATATTTGGTTCAATTAAAGAACCCAATTTGCTAATCAGCTTGAATTGGTTGGCGTGAGTGAATGTGCATTCTCATCCCTTAAGAGAGGTCGTGAGTTCGAAATTCGAACCTCATCTTATATGGAAAAATCAATCTGACAAGCATTTTACCCCCTTAATTGGACCGGGCCAGTGCCAATGTAGATTAATTTTAAGTATGGTACAAGCTTAAAAAAAATCCAAATACGCGATCAAGATCAATCCAAACTAACCCAAATAATGGACTAATCAAAATATAAATACTATAATCATAAAAATTACCTAACGCGATAGATTATAATTAGTTGACTTTCATCCATTAAGATTCATAATTTAACAATTAACTAACTATAAAACGGTCTTATTAGGTAATATTTTAATTGCCTAAAGTATATATCAATATTAATCCATATTTTCCAAACTTGTGATGCATAACCCAAAGTAATGAATATTCTCAAAAAAAAAAAGAAAAAAAAGTAATGAAATGGAGCCCAACATGCAGTCCCACAAACCTAAGACCTCTGCTAGATTTTTTGTTTTTATAATAATAATAATTTAATTAAACCATTTAACCTATCGTCTCTCTCCATCTCTCTATCTCTGAGAGAAGTTGGAAAGAAGAAAGAGAAAGAAGAGATGGGGTTGATGATGATCAATCATCAGTCAGCCATAGAAACAGAAAATTAAAAGATTTTTTTTTTTTTGAAAAAAAAAAAAAAAAAAAAAAAAGGGAAAAGCAAAACCTATGATTTGAACCCACCAAGAAAATTCTTGATTACCCCACAGCCAGCAAACACAAAAACGTAACAAAAGTATTATGGAACCCTCGAATGCACAAAGCAACAATAAACCCAATTCCACCACCGCTTCTCAGCCCTTCAACCACCAGCATGGCGGCGCACGATCGGTGCCGTTCATGTCTTCCATCTCCATCCACGCGGCGGCGGCCGCCGCAGCTGGCCGACCACTGGGAGGGAATAATACGAGTTGTAATACCGGGTCGGGTTCGGGGTCGTCGTCTATTTCTCCGTCGACATCTTCCACTAGCGCCTCCACGTCTTCCGCGGCGGCTCCGGCGGAGCCGCCGCGGCTAGTCGACGCCTCGCTTGCCATTGCCACCAGATCGGAGGCGTTGCTCGACCCTTCCAAGAAGCCACAGCAGGCGGCGGCTCAGCAGCAGCTGGCGAAAAGATCGACGAAGGACCGCCACACGAAGGTGGACGGCCGGGGGCGGCGCATCCGAATGCCGGCGGCATGCGCGGCTAGGGTTTTCCAGCTGACTAGGGAGTTGGGGCACAAGTCCGACGGGGAAACAATTGAGTGGTTGTTACAGCAGGCGGAGCCGGCCATCATCGCCGCCACCGGCACCGGCACCATCCCGGCGAATTTCTCCACCCTGAATATCTCGCTCCGGAGCAGCGGCTCGACTCTCTCGGCGCCACCGTCGAAATCGGCGCCGCATTCTTTCCACAACACATTAGCTCTAGCGGCGGCTCACCATCCTCAAGCTCACCCTTTCGAGGAAGGCTTCTCACATATGCTAGGGTTCCACCAGACCCCTCACTTCCTAACGCCGAACCAGATCGCGGACACAATTTCCGGCGGCGGAGATGACGGCGGAGGCGGCGGAGGTAGAGGACAAGACACGACTGAGAATTACCTGGGAAAAAGATATAGAGAAGATTTGTTCAAGGACGAAGGCTCAAGTAATCCCCAAGGAGAACCTTCCGGTGCCGGAGCCGGAGCCGGAGCCTCCGGCTCCGATTCGCCGTCGAATAAGCAATTCAAAGGCTCAAATATGCAACTGCCTAAGCCTATCCAGGAGACAACAGCCGGACCGTCGTCAACCATGTTCCGACACACTAATATGATGCCAGCCGCCGCTATGTGGGCGGTGCAGAGCGGCGGCACCGCCGGCGCCGGCACTTTCTCGATGCTACCGGTGAGCGCCGTCCCCAGCACATCCGGATCCGAACCGGGTCAGATGTGGGCTTTCCAAGCTAGCAGCGGAAACACCCTTCAAGCCCCGTTACATTTCATGTCTAGGTTCAACCTTCCGGGCAATCTTGATTTTCCGGGCAGCCGAGCCACCCCATTGCAGCTGGGCTCAATGATAATGCAACACCACCACCAACAACAACAACAACAACAGCCTTCCCAGCAATTGGGGTTAGGAATGCCGGACGGAAACCTGGGGATGCTGGCGGCGTTCAATGCCTATCCAAGAACCGGTTTGAACATGAACTCCGATCATCACCAAACCGGCCGACACCCATTGGAACATCATCAGCAACACCACCAAACTCCCGACGACAGCGCCGATGATGACCCCAACACCTCCCAGTAACATCTCCACAATTTTCCATTATTTGGTATGCCTCAAATCCTTCAAATTTCATATCCAACTACTTAAAATCAAAGATTATTCCGAGCAATCTCAGTCAAATTGATCAGACTGTTAATTTAATAATCATAGTATTATAAGCTCGACTTTCAGTCATCTATTAGTCTGATTTGAGCCAATTTTTATCAGAATTACCCAATGCACACCAGTATATAGTGATTGCGGGTTTTTCTATTCACTTCTAAAGATTCATTGTTTAACATTTCCAGTAAAGAAACTCAATGCATTATGGATTGTTGATTGAGATTAAAGAAGTAATGAAGAGAATGGATTTGGTAAATGCAGAGATTTTCAAAGTGTGATGAGTGATGAATATATTGGTTGATCAAGCTGGGGATCGGATTTCCATCATCCATGGAACACAGATCGAGAGAGGTATCTACTTGTAGTTTTGTCTGTGCTTAATTTTACCTTTTTTCTTTTTCTTGTATTTTTTTTCTTTGAGAATCTTTTTTTTTTTTCTTGAGGTTTCTAGATTGGTGTGAAGAGGTTGAAATGTATTTTGGTAGCTAATTAGGAGTGAAGAGAGAGAGCTTTGTATAGGAGGATCGTATGTCTTTGTGCTTAATTATATTAAAATTTCCACCTTTCTTCTTTTCCTTATTAACTCATAACAAAATCTACCATAACTAGGCGTTTACACGGTGCACAATCTTAATAATATATGTCAGTTTATTTGTCATCCCAAAAAAAAAAAAAAAAGAAGCTACCATAACTTATTCTGATAAGTTATTTACAATTTAGTTTTTATTAATGATTAATTTAATTTTAATTTATAAAAATTATATATTTATAAATTACATTTAAAGTTCTATTAAATATAATAATTTTGAAATTAAAAAACAATATTAAAGAAAATAAACATAAAGAATAGTTGGTTTCATCAGTGACTAGTAAAAAGTAAAACAAATTTGAAAAAAAAAAAACCCTAATATATATGTGTAAAAATGTAGTAAACGTGATGGAAGTATATGTCGGACATTTTGTGCTCAGATGACACATTTGTGGCTTTCTTTGAGAGAAAATTGTAAGATGAAACTCTAGTAGTGGGATATTGATTCTTTGGAAAATAACAATTAAAGAAAGTATAAAACATATACTAAAAAAAAAAGCCAGTCACTATTTTTATTCATTTCCTTTTCTTCTTCCAACCGGCTAAAATTTTACTTCATGGTAGTTTATTTAATATTTGCAGAAGTTATATAACTTGTATAGAATTATGTACAAGGCCACCACTTTTTATTTTAAGAATAGGTTACTTTTAGTATGACATTTTAACATTTTCTTAAAATTTGAAAGGAACTTTTTTGATTTGTTTTTTCTTAAAGAGTACGGCATGTCAATCACATTAACCGCTGTAAAAATCCCATGCAATAAAATATGAAGTCGTGTTGCCTTTTGGGAATTGGGATTCAATATGAAGTCAAAAAAAATGACAAAAACTTGTGTGACACCGTCACATTGATCTTTATTTGTAAAACGAATTGGTCAAGATGAAATGTAATATTTATACCCGTAAATATAATATTAAATTAAGAACAACATATTTATTATTTATATGTGAAAGTTACGAGTTTGATACTTGTCAATACTCTAAAATCTGTCACATAAAAATTTTTTTTATTCAATTTACTCTTTTGTGTGTGTGTGTGTTAGTAGTTGTAAAAGTGTCAAACGAACAGATTAGTCTAAAATCCAGTGCAAACTCGACCTATTCGGACCAACCCGTTTGACACCTCTGAGTGTGAGTTTTCCGAGATGTGTAGAGACTAGAGAAAAAGGGAAATTCCAATGATATTCCAACCATGTAAGTATTATTAATTAATGAATGTACTTTGATAGATTGACCCACAGAGTATTTGTACTTGGAAAATGGGGATTTGGGGGTTTGGGTATATCTTGAATTTTGATCCCTCCCTTTTTCTTTTTTCTTTTTATTTTTTTAATTTTTTACTTCTTCTGATCTGCACACTGCATTTCCACATTCTGAGAGTGACTCTTCTGCAATTTTGACTGCCTTCAGATGAGCTTCTCGTTTTCACTGCTAATTAATTCAACCCCACCACCTTTGCCATTTTCCCCCTACACTTTCCCCTATTTCTAATTGGACCCTCAATCTTTTCTGGATTATAAAAGTTTGCCGTGCTGATTGGCACATATGTTTTTTTTTTTTTTTTAAAGGAATGTGTTTTTAATTTGGTTATATATATTTGTGAGGTTTTATACTTGGGTTTAATTATATATTCATTTGGTATCATTTTATATGTCTAGTTCGACTAACGATATTTAGCTTAAAGTATTTTCTTCTCTCGTTTAATTTTATGTGTCTGATTCAATTATTGAGATTTGATTGAATTTATTTACTATTCAATATTTCATAATATTAAGTTTCGAATTTGTATATAAAACTTATATATTTATAAACTATATTAAAAGTATTATTGAACACACCAAATCAGAATTATTAATCATAAAAAAATACTAATAAAAATAAGAAAAGATGAAAGTAGAAAAAATCACACTTCAGTTCAGACCAAATCAGGTACTAAAGAAACTAAACCAAAACACAAAAGGTTTCAAGTCCAGTTTGATAATATCAAGAACCGGAAACGTCGATTTCGGTTCCAAAGTGATTAAAAAAAAAAAAAAATTACCGGTAAGCCACTTATTTATATTATTTTGGACCACACAAGTCTTATATCAAATCATTTTCACCCCCAAAAGAATAGTAGTCTTTTGTCTACTTGTATAAACCCACCCCAAGTTTGTTGTCATGCATTTTTCATGTGAAAATACAATAATTTATACTTTCTATAGTATAAATGAGGCATAACCATGTATCCGGTCTAGCGATATAAACCATAAACATTAAGTATAATCATATTTATACTCTTTAAGATTAATTTTATCGACTATGTCAACTTTATATCGGTTATAACCTAAAAGCATAAGTAATTGTACACTAATACTAATCAACATTTTAAACTTTTTTTTTTGTGTGTGTATATATGTATATAGCCGCAGCTGCAAGCTCACGTTTGATGCACTACGCTGTCAGATCCTATATATCTAGGCATATATAATCTATCTTAGTTTATATGTATTCTGCTTTAATTTTTTGTTTGAATAATGTAATAAATAGGGTGTTGGTGGGTCGTTAGGTGGCTGCTAATTATAGATCCACCTTTAAAGTCTTTTATTTGAATGACATTTCTGTTTTCATGTTGACAAGAATTCAGACTGCAACGTGGCCGGTAACATTGTTTTGCTTATGAGGATAATCAGGCGAGATAGATAAACTACACTAGAAAAATTTCGTGTCATAAACTTGATCAATAAATTAAAGTATTGGTGCTGGCCTCTAAGCAATTCGACATCTACCATACTGTAAGTCAAGCACGCTTAATCACAGAGTTCTTTGGCTATCTGATTGTCATATCATACTTAAAATCAATTGGTAATAAGTAGGTAGACATTAACCATTTAACTACATCCCTCCATGAAAAATCACTGAATCACGTTTCGAATCGAGTAGCTAGGAGCTGAACTCGGCCAACTTCACTAACGCCTAGCCAACACCATTAAGCCAAGCCTCGCGAGACACTATTCCTCTCATTCTTGAGATACAATTGTCATGAATATTCGACTTCCCATGATGGATAGATATGGGTGGAAGTCATGTAATACAATCTCACATTAATTTCGTTACAATTAAAAAAAATTACAAAATAATTTTAAACGAAAATTTGAAGAGTCAAATTTAATATTCTATTGTTTAATGTAAATTAAAATATGACATTAATTGTTACACATTTAAGTATTTGATCTTAACAATAGCATATTTGCTGGTTGAGATTATTAGGTAGTGGCTTAGACTCTTAGAGAGGGCTAAACACAATATCTTACTGATATAAATTCAAAATGTGACGGAGACAGTTATATAAAATATAAAGAAATAAAACAAAAGTTTTTTAAAATTTAAAAAGGAGGAACCTAACTTTCTCCGTCGCTAATTTTGTTTGCAAGTTAAAACAGTATATAAATGTTTTTGGGGATACGAAAACAAATATGTGAGAATGCGCAGACATGCACATGTGTTTCTGTGCATGCAATTTATTATTAATTTTTTATTAAAAAAAAGTTTTTAGCCCCAAACTTTAATCAATGACTTTCCCGCCATTTTCATTTGAAAATTAAAAAAAAAAAAATCAATTACATCACCGAACTTTATATAAAAAAAAATTAATTAGGTCTTTAAAAGTTAAAAAAAAATTATAATTAACCACATCAATTTTGTCAATTTGATGCAATTAAATTAATTAAGAGTTAATTACTGAAATGATCCCTTGACTATAGCGAAATTACTAATTTGGTCTTTGACTATTTTTTTGACCAATTAAGTCTCTCAACTTTAAAAATCTTAACCAATTTGGTCCTCCGTTTGTTTGACCGTTAGTCAACCGTTAACTTGGGACCAAATTGGTAATTCGCTATAGTCAAGGGACCATTTTTGTAATTAACTTTAAGGGTGGGCAATTCGGTTCAGTTTTCTCGAACCGAACCGTACCAAACTAGTTAGATTCGGTAATATACCGAACAATCGAACGGTAATAGATTCTTGTATATTGAACAGTTCGGTAAAAACTCGAACCGAACTGAATTGTTCGATAAAAAACGAACCGAACACATAGTATAGAACTTTTGATAACAAACCATAAAGAAATCAAATAAAATATTTACGAGAGATACCGTGATAATATGAGTTGAACGGCAGAGCAAGTAGCAAGGGACTTGGATTTACTTTTTATTTATTTATTTATATATTTATTTATTTATTTATTATTATTATTATTATTATTATTATTATTATTATTATTATTATTATTATTATTATTATTATTATTAAAAAAAATCAAACGGTATTCGGTTCAGTTTAATTTTTTTACCGAACAATTCGGATCGGATCGGATCGATTTTTCATGAATCGTTCGGTATACAAGAATCCAATACCGTTCGGTTGTTCGGTGTATTACCAAACCAAACTAGCTCGGTTTGGTTCGGTACGGTTCGATTTGAGAAAACTAAACCGAATTGCCCACCCCTAAAGTTAATTACCAAAATGGTCCCTTGACTATAGCAAAATTACCAAATGGTCCCAAGTTAACGGTTGACTAACGGTCAAACTAACGGAGGACCAAATTGGTTAAAATTTTTAAAGTTAAGGGACTTAATTGGTTAAAAAAATAATCAAAGACCAAATTGATAATTTTACTATAGTCAAGGGACCATTTTGGTAATTAACTCATTAATTAATCAGTTATCTAAAGGTTATCAAAAAATTGGCAAATTATTATGTGAACCGGGATCCAAATGTTTACAATTTACATACTAAATGTTCATAATTTACCTTTTAAAAATTCAAAATTTGTATAATACGAACACACAATATTAACATATATGTAATTGATTATCTTATTTTGTATTCACAAGTTACTTTCAAATACTATAGTCACACAATATTAACATATTAAGATTTGATGACCATGTATTATATTTATATATTTTGACTTAGAAACACAATTTATATTCTAAAAGTTCAT